GACCCTGGGCCAGTGGGGGTCAGAGGCCATAGCTCACGAGACCCAGAACTGAGTTTCCGGTGTCCCAGCAGAGCTCTGAGCCCTTCCTGAACTAACTCATTCCGGCCTCACGGCTCCTGAAGGCCGAGTCTGGAAGGCCGATCCTCCTCACCAGAGGCTGAGGAAGCTGTCACCCTGCGTGGATTCACACCCTGGCAAGCCGCCAGCTTTGCCTTACCCATCACAAACATCACCTGCCTTTCACGGTTCACATGGGTTTTAACCACACACATGATGCACGAAGAAATAAAGACAATACGGACTTTTAAAAGTTTGTGGTGGGGCTGGCAGGTGGCGTGGTGGATAGAGCCTCTGGACCCCCCCATGGTTGATCACGGTTTGAGTCCCGAACCTGGTGGCTTGCTCTCTCACTTTCTCTCTCTCTTTGTCCCTCTCTCTGGTCAAATTTAAAAATAAGTAAATATAGGGACCAGCAGTTGGCATAATGGCTATGTCGCTGGACTCCCATGTAGTCGACTGCGGTTCGAGTCCCAGACCCAGTGGCTTGAACTCACGCTGGGAACATGTGCATGCATGCCCAGGATCCCTAGAGGAGGGACCAGCAGTTAGCATAACGGCTATGTCGCTGGACTCCCATGTTGTCGACTGCAGTCCATGTCCCGGACCCGGTGGCTTAAAACTCACACTGGGCGTGTGTGTGTGTGTGCGTGCCCAAGATCCCAAGAGGAGAATGGAGGAGAAGGGATTGTGGCGTGGCCATCAATTGATGATTTCTCGCTTTCTGTCTCTCTGTCTCTCTCTGTGTGCAATACCACCCTAGAGAAAAAACCTCTCAAAAAAAAAAAAAAAAAGATCCCGAGAGGAGAATGGAGGAGAAGGGATTGCGGATTGCAGCGTGGGCATCCTCCTGGAGGGTGATTTCTGCTTTCTATCTGTCTCTATCTTCCTGGTGAGCCTATGTGCCCTACAGCAAAAACCTCTCCAAAAAAAGTAAATAAAGTTAAATAAACTAATTCTTTGACGAAAAACGTATGCGGTATTGGGGCTAGCAGGTGATGTGGTGGTTAAGGTACTAGACTCCCACATGTTTAACCGCAGTTCGCATCCTGGACCTAGCAGCTTGAAAACCACACGGGACACATGTGCGTACATGTCCAAAATCCTGAGGAGAATGAGAAGGGATGGCGGTGTGGTCATTCCCCCGGGGGGGTGATGTTTCACTTTCTCTCCCTCTCTCTGGCATGTATACATGCCGTTTGGCAATAAAACTTAAAAAAGAGAAAATAAGTTTGTGGTGGGCCAGCAAGTGGTATGGAGGTTAAGGCAGCTAGATCCCACATGGCGGACTCTGTGGTTTGAGTTCTGGACCCAGCGGCTTGGAAATCACGCCAGGTACATGTGCGTGTGTGTCCAGAATTCTCGGAAGAGAATGGAGGAGAAGGGACTGCAGTGTGGCCATCCACCCTTGGGGGTTGATTCGCGCTCTCCCACGGTGTGTGGGTGTCTTTCTCTCTTGCTGTCTAGTGAGTGCATGTGCCTTATAGTAAAAACTATTTTTAAAAAAAGGGGGGGCGGGACCAGCAGGTAGTGTAGTGGTTAAGGTGCTGGACACTCCCCTCCCACATGGCCGAACATGGTTTGCATCCAGGGCCTGGTGGCTTGCTTTCTGACTTTTTCTTTCTCTCTGTCTCTCTCTCTCTCTCTGTCTTTCTCTGGTTGAAATTTAAATAAATAAATAAAATTGAAAATAAATCTTTTCTTTAAAAAAAAAGTGTGAAAAATAGAACAAAAGTGCAGGTTATTCTGGTACAGAATAATTTTTTTTTTGAGAGGTTTTTGCTATAGGGCGCGTGCACTCACCAGAAAGACTGAGAGAGACATAGAGATAGAAAGCGAGAAATCACCTCCCAGAGGGGATGGCCACACTGCAATCCCTTCTCCTCCATTCTCCTCTCGGGATCTTGGGCACGCACGCACATGTGCCCAGCGTGAGTTTAAGCCACTGGGTCTGGGACTTGAACCGTTGTCGACTACATAGGAGTCCAGCGACATAGCCATTATACTAACTGCTGGTCCCATTTCTACAACTTTTGGAAGACCCAGTCGCAAGTACTTAGAAAAACAGGTGAATAAGAAGGGAGGGAGGGAGGGAGGAAGGAAAGGAGGCAGGGAAAGAATAAATGCCCCCCACCCCACCCACTGCCCAGGTCAGAAACTAAGGAAGCCAGATCAGCCTGGCTCCTCCCACAGCTGGCCCTCCACTCTATCTGCTCTCTCCTCCTCCCACGCCACCCACTCTGTGTCCTAACCAAGCCTGGAGTCCATCCTCCCTCTCAGGGTTCTTTCTAAAATCCCAAGAGGAGAACAGATTGCCAAAATGTCTTGCCTTCCACTGCTCTTCGATAAGGACCCACAGCCTCTAAGCGAACCTGGAGAAAGCCTCGGGTCTGGCCAGGCCCTCACCCCACTACTGCTCTCCCTTCCTCCAAGTTCTTCCTCTCCAGAAGGCCCTCCCATCCTCTTCTCAGGCCTAGACACCTGCTCTTCATCTTTCAGGTCTCATGAAATATTAGTTCCTGGGCTGGCAGGTGGCATGGTGAGTAAGGTGCTGGACTCCCACATGGCCAACCATCGTTTGAGTCCTGGACCTGGTGGCTTGCTTTCTCATTTTATCTCTCACTTTGTCTCTCTCTCTGGTTAAATTTGTAAAAATAATGATGACAGGGGCCAGCAGGTGGCATGGTGGTTAAGGGCGCTGGACACTGTGGCTGACCACAGTTTGAGTCCTGGACCTGGTGGCTTGCTTTCTCACTTTCCCTCTCTTTCTCCCTCTGGTCAAATTAAAATAAATGAATTGGGCCATCCCCCCGGGGGGTGATTTCTCACTTTCTGTCTCTCTGTCTCTCTCTGTCTGGTGAGCGCATGCGTCCTATAACGAAAAACCTCTCTAAATAAATACATAAATAAATAAATAAATAAATAAATAAATATTAAATGGTTAAAAATTAATGATGACAAATAAAACTGAATAAATAATTCTTAAAAAATAAAAATGAAGGACCAGCAGGTGGCGTGGTGGTTAAGAGCACTGGACTCCCATATGGACGACCACAGTTCAAGTCCTGGACCTGGTGGCTTGCTTTCTCATTTTCTCTTTGTCTCTCTCTGGTCAAATTAAAATAAATAAATAAAATAAAATAATTATTTAAAAAAAAAACAAAAGAAATATCAGTTCTTCCCGAGTCTTCCTTGACCTGAACTTTGCCAGCATCTTCTTCCTCCTTCGTGACACGCGACACCCCCATCCCGCCTGGACTCAGGCTTTCTGAGGGCAAGGGCAGTGACTAGCACATGCCTGGCTCTGAGAAGGCCCTTAATAAAACTTCCCTTTTTTTTTTTTCTTTTAAGGTTTTTGCCATAGGTCGCGTGCACTTGCCAGAGAGACAGAGAAAGACGGTGAGAGGGAAGTGAGAAATGACCCTCCACATCAGAAGGGATGGCCACGCCACAATCCCTTCTCCTCCAATCTCCTCTCAGGATTCTGGACATGCACACTCATGTGCCCAGTGTGAGTTTCAAGCCACTGGGTCCAGGACTTGAACCATGGTCAACCATGTGGGAGTCTAGCATCGTAACCACCATGCCACCTGCTGACACATTAAAGCCTTTCTAGGGCTCTCTGACAGGATTTGTCTCCAGAAAGTGATTCTGCCCCACCCAGGAGAGGCCGAGTCCCAGGAAGAGCAGTAGGCAGCTCTCCTTCCTGTCGGCACTTGAGGGTCTCTCCCTGGTCTCTGCCCCCTCCTGGTTAATCAGCCAGGCCCAGGCAGCAGAGGACCTGGCCAGCTCTTTAGACACTTCTGGGGAAGTTTCCATTTCTGAACAGAGTCTCTGTCCCCTGGCCTCCATTAGTCACCCAGAGCTGTCCAGTCTGCCTCCTGAGGGCTTCTCTGAGCCCCATGACTATCGCTGCTTGCTGATTGATGGCTTCCACAGCTTCTCTCTGTCCATTCACTTCTTCTTCCCTGTCACCACCAGATCATCTTTCAAAGGTGCTGGAAAGGAAGCTCTGAAGGGCAAACGTGGCATCTGGGATGGCATTTCTGACTTACTCGTGCCATGCTCAATATGGCACCTGGAACAAGGTAATTCAGCAAACACGTCAAACCTCCAACAGGTGCTGGGACAACTGAACCACGGAAAAGACGACCTTTCCAACACGAGGGGCTGGGACAGCTGGATAGCCATGCAAAAGAATGAGGTCAGGGGCCAGCCAGTGGCATGGTAGTTAAGGTGACTGTATCCCACATGACTGACTACACAGTTCAAGTCCCTGGACTGAAGAACACTCTGTGTGTGTGTGTGTGTCCCCCAAATCCCGAAACAAAGGAGAGATGGAGGAGAAGGAATTGCAGCACGACCATGCCCCATGGGGAGTGTTTTCTCACTTTCACTTCCCCTCCCTCTCTCTCTGTTTCTGGCAGGCTCACACTTCCTTGGCGAAATTTTAAAAAAAGGAAAACAAAACAAAACAAAACAAAAAACCAAGGTTGGGCCCCTACCTAATACCACATACAAAATATAATTCAAAATACATCAGGTCCCCAGGGGAGGGGAAAAAAACAGGCCCAGTGTGGTGGGGCACTGCTATGTATGCTGGAGCAATATGGGAAGGTCTAGAGTTCAGATCCTGGGTCAACTTATAGAGGCTGTGTGCACCCCAGGCATGCCCGTGATCCTGGCTGGCTGGAAGGCTGGGAGGAGCAGTGAGTGTCACAGGAGACTGTCAGAGGTTCCTGTCTCTGTCTCAATCTCTCTCTCAAGAAAAAAATGAACTGTTTGAAAATAGGTGAAAAAAAAATCAAATACCTGAAAATAATAGCTACATCTATAAAACTCTTAGAAGAAAAGATAAATGTACATCTTTGGGGCCAGCAGGTGGCGTGGTGGTTAGGGCAGCTGGACCCCCACATGGCTGACTGTGGTTCCAGTCTGGACCTGGCAGTTTGCATTCTCAGTTCTTTCTCTCTTTCTGTCTCTCTCTGGTCAACTTCAATAAAATAAAATAAAATAATGACAATGAATAAAATAAAATAATTCTTTTTAAAAAGGTACATCTTTGTTGCTTGCATTAGGTAATGGATTCTTAGATACACTAAAAGCACAAGCAGCAAAAGAAAAAGTAGTTAAATTAGGCATCAAATAAAAAACTTTTGTGATTCAAAATATACTTCAAGAAAATGGAGGGCCAGCCAATGGCATGGTGGTTAGGGCAGCTGGATCCTATGTGGCCAACTGTGTAGTTGGAGTCTCAGACCCAGCAACTTGGAACACATGCTGGTGCGTGTGTGTGCCTGCCCAAAATTCTGAGAGGAGAATGGGGAAGAAGGGACTGCAGTATGGTCCTCCTCCCTGGGGGTTGCTTCTCACTTTCCCTCTCTCCAGCAAGTGTACACACCCTATAGCAAAATTCAAAAGAAAGACAGAGGGATGGCATAATGGTTCCTTCATTGGACTCCCATATAGTCAACCATGGTTCGAGTCCCAGACCTGGTGGCTTAAAACTCACGCTGGGCACGTGTGTGTGTGTGTGTGCCTAAAATCCCAAGAGGAGAGTGGAGGAGAAGGGATTGCAGAGTAGCCATTCCCCCAGGGGTGATTTCTTGCTTTCCATCTCTCTATCTTGCTCTTTCTGGTGAGCACACACACACTATAGCAAAAACCTCTCCAAAAAAAAAAAGCAATTGAGGTGCTGACTCTGAACTCAAGTATTTTGGAGAGGTTTTCGCTATAGGGCGCGTGCGCTCGCCAGACAGAGACAGACATAGAGACAGAAAGCGAGAAATCACCCTCCAGGGGGGATGGTCACGCCACAATCCCTTCTCCTCCATTCTCCTCTTGGGATCTTGGGCACACATGCACACGTGCCCAGCGTGAGTTTTAAGCCACCAGGTCCGGGATGCGAACCGCAGTCGACTACGTGGGAGTCCAGCAACATAGCCATTACAGTAACTGCTGGTTCCCTAGAAGAAAATATTTTCAAATCACATGTCAGGCAAGGACAGTTTATCTAGACTACATAAGGAATGCTTATAACTCAACAATAAAAAGACAATCCAACTGGAAAGTGGACAAAGGATTGAACAGACATTTATCCAAAGAAGATATACAGATGGCCAGTCCACATGAATAGCTTAACTTCATTACTAATCAGAGAAATGCACACCATAGCCACAAGGAGATGGAGCTTCACAGCCATGAGGATGGCTGGAGGGAAAAAGGACAGACAGTAACATGTGGTGAGGAAGACTAGGAGAAACTGCAACCTGCCGATCATCCCGGGGGGATGTAAAATGGCGCGGCCACTTGCAAAACAGTCTGGCGGTTCATTAAAAGATTAAACACACGGTTACCGGATGAGCCAGCAATCTCACTGCTAAGTATAAACTCGAGAAGTAAACACTCATAACCCCACTAAAACAGACAAGAACATACACAGCAACATCAATCGAAATAGCTGCAAAGGAGAGACAACCCAGTGCTCACAGTGGATGAACGGAGAGTCAAAGTGATGGCTACACAGAAGGGCACGTTATCCAGCCATGAAAAGAACAGAAGCCCTGACCACGCTACGATGTGGATGAATCTTGAAGACATCAGGTTAAATGAAAGAAGTGGCACAGCAGCCACACACTATGTGATTCCATTGATGTGAACCGTGAAACGTCCAGAACAGGCAAATCGATAGTCAGGAAGTAGACTGGTGGCTGCCAGGGACTAAGCAGTTTAGGGGAAGGAGAAATGGCTGCTGACAGGTATGGGTTTGTTTTGGGGGTAATGAAAATGCTCTAAAATTAACTGTAGCGAGAATCACACACTTCTGTTGACATAGTAAAACCGACTTTCTTTTCATTTTGAAGTTGCCAGAGGGTACATGAGCTCACCAGAGAGAGAGAGAAACGGATAGACAGACAAGGAGATAGCACCTTGGATGGTGCTAGGTCATGCCACAATCCCTTTTCCAGTTCTCTATCCTGTTGGGATTTGGGGCAGGCACACGCACATGCCCGGCATGTTCTTCAAGCTACCAGGGCCAGGATTTGAACCAGGATGGTCTGTGTAGGATCCAGCTCCCATAACCACTAGGCCACAGGGCCAACCCACTTTTGACTTGTACATTGGAACAGATTAATTGTCCAGGATATAAATTATCGCTAAACAAAGCCATTAAAATAGTGTCAAGCCCTCAACTAAACACTTACCTGTATCCCTGAGGATAAACAGCTAATTTTATTTTTTCTTAAGTTTATTTATTTATTTATTTAATGAGCAAGAGAACAGGTTTTAAGGCCATGATCTACCCCCAGCCCAGACCATGGGCACACACAAGTATGGCACACTTGGGAGGGTCCCTGGACACGAGCCCAGAACCTTCCTGAGTGGGTCAGCTGTGGAGTGTCATGTTCTCACTGCTGTCCCAGCATCTGGCTGTAAGTTCGAATTTCTTTCTGCTGTTTTCTTTTTTCTTTTTTTTTTTTTTAACTGACAGATAGCAATTATAACAGAGAGAGAGAGAGGAGACCTCGCTAATGGCATCTAGTCGTGCTGCAATCCAGTTTCCTCCATTTAGCCTTCCCGTAGGATTGTGGGCTTGCATGCACATACTCCCAGCTTGTTTTGTTTTTTTTTAAGAGGTTTTTGCTATAGGGTGTGTGCGCTCGCCAAACAGAGACAGAAAGCGAGAAATCACCCCCCAGGGGGGGATGGCCACGCCGCAATCCCTTCTCTTCCATTCTCCTCTCGGGATCATGGGCATGCACACACACACGCGCCCAGTGTGAGTTTAAGCCACCAGGTCCAGGACTTGAACTGCGGTCAACTACGTGGGAGTACAGAGACATAGCCATTACGCTAACTCTTGGTCCTCTCCCAGCTTATTTTTCAAGCCACCAGGACAGGACTCAAACTGTGGTCAGCCAAATGGGATCTGGCTCCTACTGCACTGCACTACAAGGCTGACCCAAGGCAGAAAAAAAAATTTTTTAATTGGTTTTCGCCATAGGGTATGTGCACTTGCCTGAGAGAGAGACAATGTGAGGGAAATTGAGAAATCACCCCCCAGGAGAACAGCCATGCCACAATCCCTTTTCTATTCTCGTCCTGGGATCTTGAGCATGCACACACACATGCCCAACATGACTTTCTGGGACTCGAACCAGTCAGTCATGTGGGAGTCTAGCAACAGAACCACTACGCCACCTGCTGGCCCCAAGGGCGAATTTCTCAGCAGTGGGAAAAGCTCTTAGTTAGTAGGCCCCTGATGGCTCTCTGACCTCATGCCTTCCTGCCCTGCCCCTCACACTCTGTCCAGCCAAACAAAATGGCAGCTGCTCTCTTCACTACACACCTGCTGTTCCCACTGCCTGGAACGCTCACTTTCACCTAGTTCTCACATAGCCTGGAGCTCCTGGCTTAGAGGCTGGCACCTCCAAGTCCTTTCTGACTGTGACACTCTCCCGCGCCTGCAGTGGCAGCGTCCCTCTTCTGTGCCTCACCCAACGAGACAGCAGGATCGCCCCGGCAGCTTTCAGGCCGGCACATCCCTGCACTGGGTGCTTTACTTACACTCCCTCTTGCCACTCTCACAGCAACCCCCAGAGTAGGGAATAATATCCCCTTTCACAGATGAGGAAACTGAGGCACCGGCAGTGAAGTGACTCGCCCAGGTCACGGCAGCAGGTGGCAGAGCTGAGTGGGGAGGCTGTTGACCACTGCGTGGTTACACGGTGTGTCCTCTCCGGCAATCACAGTAGCGGTCGTGCCATTTTGGATTCCCTGTGGCTGCCTCCACCGCCATGCTGGCGAGGCTCTGGACAGAGGCCATGTTTGATTCAGCAAAGCCCTCCCACTGCCCTGCCCCGCCTCTTGCTCACTGTAGAATCTAGAGCAAGTTGCTAACCTTCCCTGGGTTTCAGGTCCCCATCTGTCACATGGGGACATGAGTGTGACTATCTCGCAGGGGTCTGTGATTACTAATTGAGGTGAAGAGCCCGTTACGCACTTAGAACTGGGCCAGGTACATCGTGGGCACTCGATAAACTGCAGCAAATGCTGTTATCTCTGGGTCAGCATCACCCAGCCGGGCCTGCGGTGGGGCTCCCAGGTGGGCTGACATCAGTGAGTGAGAGTGGGGGAGGGAGTCCACGGAGCCAACCCCCTTCATGCAGAGCCTGGAGCCACTGCCCACCCCACAGCCCTGCCCTGGTCCTGCCACCAAGCACTACTCACGGGAAGGTGGAAGCAGCAAAACAGAGGATGGAGATCAAGCCCAGGCCCACGCTGGCCTCATCCCAGCCATCCTGGGCACATTCACCAAACACATCCCATATCCACTGGCGGGAGCCATTGGGGCAGCTGGAGAAGTTGCCGGAGCCCAGTTGCTTCCAGACCATGGCTGCAGAGAGAGGACGCCCCGCCCAGCAGGGCCGCGTGGGAGGGAGGGCGCTGGCGTATTGAGGCAGGCAAGGGTTCTACAGGAAGAAAGACAAGACCGTCAGCCCTGGGTGGTCTGGGCTGAAGGACAAGGTCAGCCTGGCCAAACTCATCCCAGTCTTATTGCTTGGCCCTTACTGAGCCCCTGAATGGCCATGGGGATACAATCAGCCTCCAGATACACGCAGGGCCAGGTGGGGGCAGAGTAGTAACAAGACTGTACCGCAAGGGAAAGGTCCTGGGTTTGTGTCCTGAGACCTCCCTGAGCACATTCTGCCCCAGAACGTGTGGCCATGTCTGGATCAGCCAAGACAGGTGGGGATCGCGGCATGATGACTCACTCTCCCTCTCTTTGACAGAAGAAATAAATAAACTTTTAAAAAGAATGCTGGGCCAGCAGGTGGCATGGGATTAAGGCACTGGATCGCATGCGGCTGAATGCACAGTCTAAGCCTAGGATCCAACAGCTCGAAAATCATACTAGGAGCATGTGTGTGCATGCCCAAAATCCCGAGAGGAGAATGGAAGAGAAGGGACTGTGGCGTGGCCATTCTCCCAGAGGAGGGAGGAGGGGTAGTGAATTCTTACCCCCACCCCTGTTTCTCGCCGATGAGTGCATGTGCACTATAGCAAACTAAAAGAAAGAAAAAAAAGAACCAAAATGCCAACCACAAATAAGCAGGGGACGAGCACTGAGCGTTCAAATCTCAGCTTTGCTACTTGTTAATGCTATGACCGCAATCCCTTCTCCTCTGGTCTCGTAGGAATTTGGGGTATGCATACACGTACTCAACCTAATATTCAAGTCACTGGGTCTGGGACTCAAGCCACACAGGTGGCCATGTGGGGTCCAGTGCCTTAACCTCCACACCACCTGCTGGCGCAACACTAAGACTTTGAATAAGCCACCCAGCCTCATCTGCAAAATGGGGGTGCCAAGTGCCTCCTGCATGTGGTCCTGGTACAGTGCCTAGAACTGTGTCCTCAAAGCCACTTTCCATTATACTCTGGAACATTTCAGTTAGTTCCAGATTTTCATTACTGTAAAGTACTGTGAGGGTCCTCTGAGACCCAACCATTCAGTGCCTTATCTCGTTTAAAGTAGGGTGGCCCACACGTTGACCAGACAAGGCAAGTAGAGCGTGAGGAACAGGGGATCCTGGGATTGCGTAGGTGGCTGGGTTCAAGCTCGGGAGCTCAAGCCCACATGCTCCTCGGAGCTCGCCAGTGTATGGGAAGCCTACTGCCTACAGCAAGGATCTATAGCCACCTCCCCACTGCCGACACTGATGAAGCCAGAACCTGCCTGACTGCAGGAGCAGGCAGGGCAAGCCTCTTGCAGTGTCCGGGCACCCTGGGCAGTGGGTAGCACAGTCACTGCCTGTGTGACAAGCCTAAGAAGGGAGAGAGGATGGCCTGACTGGAGCCCTCCCCACCAGTGACAATCACCCTGGCCCTGACTACTGAGCTCTGTGCCAGCTCTGTGCTAAGCACCTGCATGTACGAATGCATTCTGTTCTCATATCAACTCTGTGAAGTTGAAGAACCTGAAGCCTAGCAGGGAGGTGCTTTAGCCAAGGCCACCCAGCCAGGAACATGCCACGCTGCTGGGTGCTTCCGTGCCTGGGCACAGGAGAAACCTCCTGTGGTCTGGCATACTGTCCTGCTTCCCATAGAGCCAGAGAGCGAGCTTCCTCTTCCCTTGCTGTGTTGCTGAGGGTGCTTCCTCACTAGGCTAGGGACTCCCTCCAACACCTCAGTTTCAGGAGGTGTCAGGAGGCCCAAGCTCCTCATAAAACAAAGCCCAGGCTGGGTCCACGCGATTGCTGAGGTCACGGCGATGAGGGTCAGGGCAGGGAAGGAAGCAAGTCAGCTCCTTTTTTCAGGAAGCTGTAGCCTCTCAGCCATAATGTGACAGCCACGAGCAGATGTCACAGAGCTGGGGCAAGGGCATTCCAGGTCCCTGTCTTCCCAGTGCGGAGTGGCTAAAAACCTCGTCCTGTATCTTGGTGGCCACCTAATGGCCATCAGCACAGCTGACAGTGGAAGCACTGATGCCCTGCATGCCACCCTGGTTAACGTACGGTCCAGGTAAGAACGGTGCCTGTGCAGTACCAAGGGTGTTTCAGATCAAGTCCTTTTGTCTCCCAGACATCCCCCAGCCAGCTCCCCAACCCTTCCCGAACAGGCTACAGTCCATCACACGATCCTGTATTGCCAAGCTCGCGACTCCCCAGCACGGCAGGTCTGCATTTCACAGGTGAGGTTTGGTGGCCCTGGGCAGTGAGTTAACCCTTCTGAGCCTGCCTACCAGGTGGGGCTACTGACACTTTCCTCAGGTGGCTGTGCCGACTAAAGGCACACGAAGCTCTCAGCCCCGGGTCTGGCTGGATATGTCATCATGACTGCTATGAGGATGAGTCCAGAGTCTAATCCACACGGGGCCTGTCTCACTCTTCGCCAGGTTAGGATGGAACTGAGGTGGGCACACCCAATGTGTGTATGGGGGCACAGGGTGAGGATATCCTGAGGAGGGCTCCTGTTGACAGGGCTCAGGGCACTGTGTGGGTGGTCCCCTGACTTTGGACAGGGCCCCTGTGTACCTCAGAGCTCAGGACACTCTGAGACACATCTGAGCCCTGAACAGAGAAGCCTTCCTTTGAAGGCCACCATGCACAGGGTCTGTCACTTAGAAGCCAGGTCCACCTCCTGTTCCAACAGTAATGAGTGAACAGGTGTCCAGTACTGTTGACGTCCAGCACAAAGCTCGACCTCATCTGTCCAGGTGGTAAGAACCACATCAGGAGTGCCCGAAGATCACCCTTGGAAGGCGCACGTTCAAAATTCAGGGCGGTGCATCTAGACTGGGACTCAGGGATTCTGGATTTAAGAAACTCTGCCAGGCTCAGCCACGACCTTGTGCACTAGTGGACACTACTACTCAGCAGGTGGAGGCCACTTGGGAGGCTGAGGTTCAATTCCCAGCACACTCTGAAAGCTGAGCAAGGTGGGTAATGCACACCTGTACTTCCAGCTACTCAGGAGGCAGACCTAAAGGAAGAGGCTCCCCCTGCCACTCGTGCTGTATGTACCTGGTATACCTTGAGAAGGCCAGGCTGGAGCAAGCGTCTCCTGCCACACCCAAGATCCTCTCCCAGATCCCTCACTGAGTCAGGGAGATGTTTTCCACAAAAGCAGATTAAGTGGCCACCTTTATCCACAGGAGCAGGTATAAATTCTTTGACAGAAAGCCCCAGGATACTCCAAGATATGCCCTCCCAACCTTGCTTCCTGCCCCAGGTCTTCAAAAAGCCATTTCAAGCCTCCAGGCTTCTTTCTGCTCATGCTGTCTCTTCCCCTAGAAGTATCCTCCTTCCCCTCGAGAGCCTGGTAAAGAGATGCCAGTTCTAAGCCACTCTCTCAGGCCTTCCAGGAGCCAGCTGGACAGGCCCTGTGCCTTGCCTCCTGTCCTTAGCCGGCACAGCCACCTGAAGAATGCTTATCACTGACCTCGGCAAATACTGCTGCTTAAACCCACTCTCTGCCCTCGCCCTGGTCAGACACTTCATAGTCTCAGAGCCCGGACACACCTGCTGCAAGGTAAAGGCTGAGGATGTTAAGGGGCACGGGCTGGGAAGGAGAGGGTGAGGGTGAGAGAGAAAGCAAGTGGGAGGGCAAACAGGGAAAGAAAGAGGAAAAGAGAAAGGTGGGGAACAAAGGCTAGAGAGAATGGAAGAAAGGGAGGAAGCAAGGAAAGGAAGGACAGAAAAAGGAAAGAAAAAAGCCATGAGGTCTGACCGCCTCGGTGAGGAGAAAAGCCCTCTGGAACTGACCTGTCTAGTGTGGTCTAGAACCTCTGAAACTCCACCCCAGAGTTCTAATCTGCACAGGAGAATAATGCAAGCACCACCTCCTAGGTGGACTGTGAAGTTAAATCAGATGGTCCAGGCTAAGAGATTCCAAGGTGCCTGGCACGGTTAAGTAAAAACACTCAGCATAACAGCCAGGGGGGCTATCACTGTTTCTGTTGGAGCCCCTGCAGGGTCTCAGGTCTACAGTAGCTTCCAGGAAATGCTGAGTGGGGAAGACCTGTGTGACCCTGGCCGGTCCTCACACTCCCAAACGCACACTCCCATGCACACTTGAAACCTGACCTAAGCAGGGTGTGGGAGGGGGCTATCTGGCTTCCCCTTCCTGCAGACCACGGCAGATAGGGTAGGCGGGAGTGTATCTGCTTGGGGATACCACCCACTCCAGCATCCTCGGCCACAACGCCCTCCTGGTGACTCAGCCCGGCGAGGGACGCCTGCGTAGAGGGATAATAACAGGGCCGCCGCTGGGGTCAGCGCCGCGAGGCCCCCTCGCCCGGCCAGCTCCGGGGAAAACAAAGCCCTCAGAAGCCGAGGGCCGATCGGCCGGGACCAGGAGGTGAAAAAGGGACCCGGACTCCAATCTCTGGTCAGGCCAGGCAGAGAAGCCACGCTGGTGGCCCTTGAGGTTTGGGACGACGGAGACTTGGGGTACCGAGGGCCACCCACTCCCGGCCGGGAGCCTTGCCCCAGGATGTAGCTCCACAAAGAGAGGACAGAATCCCAACACAGCCCCAGGGCTGAAGCAGAGTGCGAGAAAGACGAGGTAGGGAAGCCCTAAAAGTTCCGACCCCAATCCCGGGGGTTTGCTGCTAGCCCCCGACCCAGCTCACCAGCTCAAGATCCGCCGCTAGAGCCGGCTTCTGGGTTCAGTGCTCGCTGGGTCAGCTGACCAGCGCCGCCGTCCCGCCCCCGGAGCCGCGTGGCTCCGCCCCTCGCGCCACGCATTTGGCAGACGGTCCCTGGAGGCGGCACGGGCCGGGTTGCGTCCGCACTTTGCCTTCGCTCCCAGACGCCCTCGGAAGCTCCTCCCCGCGACGGGGGCGGGGTCTCAGGCGCCGCCGCGCGCAGGCTCAGTACTCATGCTGAGCGTAGTATCTCGCGCGGTTGCCGGCGCCGCGGTCCGCTGCGCTTTGCGCTCTCCGCCGCCCGGAGC